GAAATGATCATCTACAGAGAAAATACTAAGAAATCTCTAGGAGCCCCTAGAACTTGTATTTGAATTTAGCAGGATTAGAAAACACAAGGTACATATAAAACTTCAGGTCTGGAGCAGTGTGAGGAAGAGGCGAGAACGACCTGCGGACTGACCAAAGCCACGCACTGCTGCATCTCGCGTCCAGTGCCTGCGTCCGGCCACCGTCGCCACCATGCCCAAGAGAAAGGCTGAAGGGGATGCTAAAAGTGATAAAGCCAAGGTGAAGGACGAACCACAGAGAAGATCCGCAAGGTTGTGTGCTAAATCAGCTCCTCTAAAGCCAGAGCCCAAGCCTAAAAAGGCCCCTGCAAAGAAGGGAGAGAAGGTACCCAAAGGGAAAAAGGGAAAAGCTGATGCCGGCAAGGATGGGAATAACCCTGCAGAAAATGGAGATGCTAAAACAGACCAGGCACAAAAAGCTGAAGGTGCTGGAGATGCCAAGTGAAGTGTGTGCATTTTTGATAACTGTGTATTTCTGGTGACTGTACAGTTTGAAATACTATTTTTTATCAAGTTTTATAAAAATGCAGAATTTTGTTTTACTTTTTTTTTAAGCTATGTTGTTAGCACACAGAACACTTCATGGTTGTTTTTTGGGAAAGGAGTATATGTCACTAGTACAATGTCTCCAAAGCTGGATTGATGTGGGGAAAGCATCTTTCCCTGCTAGTTTTGAAAGACTTCCTCTTGGCTCCCAGGAGGAGGGATTCCCTGATGTTGACACCTGTGGCCACTTTGGCACAAATGCCTTGTGGTATGGGAAAACTCCCAGTTCATTTTATGTCCTCCTTTCCTCTGCCATCAGCATAGCCTTAACTCCCTTAAGCCCAGAGACCTATTGCGACCTGACTCCCAAAAATTGATGTTACCAGTGTGTCAAGCATTCTGGACTTGCCAGTGACGTTGAGATGCTGTCCCACAAGAACAATGATTTCCTTTTCTAGATTGCCGATCTTCAGACTGATAATTCTGCCATTTTCATTTCATTTTCTGAAAGTCAGGGTCGACTTGTGAAAAGTTGTTAAAACAACATGCTAAATGTGAAGTGTCGACCCTCACTCTAAACTTTCCCTACTCAGAGCATCAAATGAAGACTTCAATGGATTTTATAGTGGCTTTCTGATTTTTTGGTAGTCCATCCAAGAAGGGAGTTTGAAAGTTGTATACTGTTAACGATTGTGTGCCCATGTCCTGCCTGAAATACCATGATTGTTTATGAAAAGTATCTTTAATAAAGCTGGATACAGTTTGGCTTGGGAAAAAAAATCAGGTCTATGTATACTTGCTATAAATGAAAAATTGGATACTAAAATTTAAAAGTATGTAGGACTTCAAAGGACCTAGAAAAGTAAAAAGAAAAAGAAAAAAAAAGTGTTGGAAGACATTTAGAACCTAATTTTAAGACTTCCTCTAAAGCTACAGTAATCAAGGCAGTGTTGATGTAAGGAAAGACATAGATCATTGGAATAAAACAGAGAATCTAGAAATAGAGCCACACATATATGGTCCACTGAGTCTTGAAAGATTTAACATTAACATTTTATAGAACATAAGCTCAATTCAAGAGCAGAGGAAAAGACTGTTTTCAGCAAATGGCACTAGACTACCTGGTATCTGTATATAAAAAATTAACCTCAACCCTTTATTTCCATACATAAAAATAATTTGAAAGGACTTATGATCCTAAATATGAAAAACTAAAACTATAAAACTTTAAGAAGAAATTATAAGGGAAAATGTTTATGAATTTAGGGTAGGCAATTTCCTAGGATATAAAAAACATGATGTATAAAAGAAAAAAATTGATGAGACTCCATCAAAATTTAGAACTTTAAATGACATCGTTAAGAAAATGAAAAGTAGTCCTTAAACAGACTATATTTATAATGCATATAACCTTTGACCAGAATATAAAAAGAACTCTTACAGCTCATTAATAGACAACCCAATTAAAAAGCAGACACAAGAAGATAACTAGCCAGTACAGCACAAGGAAAGGTGTGCAACACTAGAATCAGAAAAATACTAATCAGTACAATAACAAGATTGAATTGTACACTCATTAGGGAGATGAAGTTACAAGTTTTAAAAGAACAAATGTCAGCTTAGGTGTGAACCAGTTAGAACTTTCTAATACTGCTAATGTGAATGTAAAATGATAAAACCATTTTGGAAAACAATACAGAAATTTTTTGTATTACTGTTAAGAACCAACAGTCCTGTTCTTAAGTTTTTACTTGAGAGGAATGAAAACACATGTTCACAATAGATCTGTACATACAAGTTAAGTATCCCTTATCTGAAATTCTTGAGACCAGAGTGTTTCAGATTTTCATTTGAAATCCTCTTGATCTGAAAAAGAGGACAGCTACTCCTGTTTTTTTTTCCAGGTTCCTGTCACATGGAGTGTTGTTTTCCACCCTTTAACTTTCAGACTGTGAGTTTCTTTTTGAATTAAATGTGTTTCTTGTATGCAGCATATTGTTGGATCTTGCTTCTTGACCCATTCTGCCAGTTTCTTTCTTTTGATTGGTGAATTGAGACCATTAACATTGATGGTTGTAACTCATACATATTGACTTATCATTGTCATGACTTTTTTTTTGTTGGATTCTCCCACTTTGTGTTTAATTTCTTGTCCCGCCCGACAGATTCATTCTGATGGGCTTCCCGGGGTTGTGATCCTCATTGTCTTTTCCTAGGATATTGTCTAAAATTTTTTGGAGTGCCGGTTTGGTATTCATAAAGTTCAAGCATCTTATTTCTGCATCAATTTTGAAAGATAATTTTGCAAGGTACATCAATCTGGGTTGGAGGCTGTTTTCTTTTAGGGCTTGAAATACATCACTCCAAGCTCTTCTTGCCTTGAGGGTCTGCATTGAGAAGTCTGCTGTGGTTCTGATGGGCTTTCCTTTGTATGTGATTTGTTTCTTTTCTCTAACTGCTTGTAGAACTTTGTTCTTCTGTTAGGTTTCTGGAATCTTAACAATTATTATGTCTATTGTAGATTTTTTTTGATCAAGGGTAGTTGGGAGTCCTATATACCTCACTTATCTGTATGTCAAGTTTTTTTCTCCTGCTTGGGAAGTTTTCTGCCATCACTTCTGTGAACAGTTTTTTTATGTCATCTGCACTCTCTCCTGTTTCTTCATTAACTCCAATCAGTCTTATGTTATTCTTTGCATAGTCTAGCAGCTGCTGGATTGATTTCTTGTGGTCCCTTATAATTTTAAAGCAATTTTTCTTTTCCTGGTCACTAATTGCAATCTTATCTTCTATATCTGAAATTCTGTTCCCACATTGGCTCATTCTGCTTGTAGACTTTCAATGGAGTTGTTAATCTCCTAGAAATCTGTTTGCATCTGTTTTATGGATTCCATTTGTTTCCTATGTTGGGATTCCATTGTGTTCCTGAGCTCCTCTCTAGATTTATTAATCACGTCTTGCACTATGAGCACAATCTCTGCTGTTATCTAAGAAATTGTTTCTATTTCATTTTTTCCAGATCCTCTTTTGTTGCCAGTTCAGGGAGTCCAGGTGGTTGAGTATCAAAGTGTTCCATCTCATTTCCCTTTGGGGTTGCTTGTAGGTGGATCTGGAAGTCTGGTTTTGAAACTTGTTTACATGTCTTCTCATTTCGATGGGGGTGGGGTGGGGGCTGCTGCTGGAGCCCCTTGTGCCTCACCTGTGTGCTGGCAGGGGTCCAAATTACTTATTTTTAGACAAGGTCTTACTATTTAGTTCAGATGGTCCTTGAACTCACTATGCAGCCCAGGCTGCCCTTGAACTTGCAGCAATCCTCTTGTCTCACCCTACCAAGTGCTGGGTTTATAGGTGTGCACCACCATATCTAATTACAAATTACTATTAATTACTATAATTTTTTTTTGAGTACTGGGTATCGAACTCAGGTCCTTCATTAATTACTATAATTGAGCTTGACCATGAACTTGTATATATGTAGTAATGACCCATCTAAAATTTCATGAATTTTAACAGTGGTTTTCAGATTATGAAGTTTTCAAGGTGGTGTATCCTTATAATTTCAACATTTGGGAAGATGAAGTAGGAAGATTGCTTGAGACTATTCATGTGGCTATTTCTTATACAAAGAAGCATAATAAGCTTCTGGCAACTTTCTAACTTGGTTCATGTTTGACTATCCAGAGGAATGAGTGGAAACTGGCCCTGGGTATCAATTTATTGAATTTTTAGAAAAAGATGGTTCAAAGCTGAGTTTTCCTCTACAGTTCACTAATGATACGTTCAAATGCTTCTGATGCTGTATGGAAAAAGATCATAAAGCAAAAGGCAAGAAACCTATTTGCAATCTCATTCAAAGGCTAGCCATATCACACTTTTTGAGCAACAGGTCAAATGTGATGCCTGAGGTAAAGTCAAAAGTTTTCCGGGGCCGGGGATTTAGCTCAGTGGTTCTACCACTTGCCTCACAAGCACGAGGTCCCAAGTTCGATCCCCAGTACCAAAAAAAAAGTTTTCCTTAAGGACACTTAACAATTAAAATTGAACTGTAATCACATACCGTATACTCTATTAATAATTAATTTGGTGAGAAGTCCATGCATTTTATCACCTATGATAATACCTTGCTAGAAGTACTCAGCCCACAAATGTTTGCCGAGTTGAATTTTCTTTTTTGAAATATGCTACCATCTTTAGCAATGTGCTATAATTATTTACATAATATCATTCAGTTAATTTAGAACTATAATTGATTGACTGGTTTTTCGAGACAAGGTCTTGCTATGTAGTTCAGGCTGGCCTTGAACTAGAACCAATCCTTCTGCCTTAGCCTCCCAAGTGCTGGGATTACAGGTGTGTACCATGACACCTAGCTATTTTATTTTTATACTAAAAAATATATATTTTTGAAATTTAGGAAAAGCAAGAAATGCACATTTTGAGATATGTTTCAAGATACCTGGCTGACATATTATTTTCAGGAAGAAGTGGAATTTCCAGAACTTTTGTGCTGGCAATTATTATTTCTTGGCTTGCAGTTGCAACTGTCTTTCCAGTGATTCGATGCACCTGGTAAAATGCATGCGGTCGTAAATATCGATCATCTGCTGTTCCAATAAACATCTGTAGATTTATAGGCTTTTCACTATAGCCCAGGAGCTAATTAGGAAGAAAAAAAAATTCCAATTCATTATTCATGCATTTTATAAGCTTACAATACAAAGTCTATTATAACTGTATCATATACTGTTGATAAATAAAATGTTACTTCAAAAAAGATGACAACATAGCTAGGTATGATGGCACATGCCTAGAATCCCAGCATTCCAGAGGCTGAGGCAGGAGGATGGCTCTGAATTCAAGGCCAGCCTGGGATATAAATGAGTTCAAGGGCAGCCTAAACTACACAGTGAAACCCTGTCTCAAAGAAACAAAAAAGATAACAAAAATCAGTGAATAGCCCTCCCAAGTTTCTGAAATACGTTAACAGTTAAAAAACACTAGAATATATTACAAAGGAATGTGGGGGACGGTGTTGGATAAGTATCTCAATTATCAATATTTTGCAAGGCCTTCTGACTCTGCTGTGGACAATGCAGATATATGCTGATTCTGTACTCTGAGCAACATTAATCTTTTAGATCAAACCTACAGGCTTAGTGTACGGTAAGGATTCAACTTCATTCTTTTGCACATAGATAGCCAGTTTCCCAATACTATTTGTTCAGAAAACTGTCCTTTCTCTACTGAACAGTGCTGTCCTTCCTCTACTGATTGTAGGAAATCATTTGATCTTACAGTACATGTGAGGGTTTACCTCTGGACTATTTTACACCATTAGTCTCTTTGTACCTGTACTACACTGTTGTATTTTTTGTTTTGTTTTGTTGAGACAGGATCTTGGTGTGTAGTTTGGCCTGGCCTTGAACTCACTATGTAGCCCAGGCTGGCCACAACGTCACGTTGATCCTCCTGACAAGGCCTCCCAAGTGCTGGGATTACAGTTATGCACCACCATGTCCAGCTTTGTACCACACTGTTTTAATTACTGCAACTTTTACATGTAGTAAGTTTCAAAATTAAGAAATGTGAGTCCTCTAACTACTCTTCTGTTTTGGCTATTCCAGGCCCTGTGCAATTCCCTATGAATTTGAGTATTTGGTTTTCCATCTCAGCAAAAAAGGCTGCTAGAATTCTGAAAGGTATTGTGCTGCATCTGTAGGTCACTTTGGGGACTACTGACATCTGAACAATGTTACTTCTTCCTATCCATGAACACAGTGTATCTCTTTCCATTTATTTAGATAGCCTTTAAATTTCTTTCAGCAATGTTAAAGTTTTCAGGACACCCATCATACACCTCAAGTTACATTTATTCAGGACACACATCATACACCTCCTCAAGTTACATTTATTCCTAAGTATTTAATTCTTTTAGAAACTATTATACATGGATTTTTCTCAGTTTCTCCTTCAGATTGTTCATTGCTGGTACAGAGAAATACAACTGAATTGTTTGTGTTGAACTGTCCCTGAAACTTTGCTTGTTTATTAGCTCTAGGAGCTTTCTTGTTGATTAACAGTTTCTGTGTATAGAATCTTATCATCTGTGAACAGTGACATGTTAACCTCCTTACGATTTAGATGTTTTTTCCTTTTTTATTGTCTAGTTGCTTTGGCTACAATTCTTAATACAGTGTTGAATAGAAGTGAGTGAAGCAGGCATCTTTGTCTTCTTAATCTTAGGAGTAAACCTTCAGTCTTTCACCATTAAGTATGATGCTAGCTATGAGTTTTTCATAAATGTCCCTGTGTTAGAAAAGTTTCCATCTATTCCCAATTTGCTGATGTTTTTATTTTTAAATCATGAAAGGCTATTAAAATTTTGTCAAATGCTTAAAAAAAAAAAAAAAGACAGAATCTTGCTATGTACGCGTAGGCCAGCCTGGCTTCATGGTTGTTGTTTTTTTTTCAGTACCAGGGATCAAACTCAGGTCCTTGCGCTTATGCAGCAGGCAGGGAAACCACTGAGCTAAATCCCCAGCCCAGGCTGGCTTTAAACCTGTGGTCCTCCTACCTCAGGCTCTCAAAGGGCTAAGACTGTAGGCATGTGCCACCATACCAGGCGCTTTTCTTTTTGGGGACTGGTGATTGAACCTAGAGCTTTGCACATGCTAAGCATATGCTCTAACACTTGAGCTGTACCACCACCCCTAAATGCTCTTCGAGATTACTATGTAGTATTTTTCCTTCTAGTAATATAGTGTATTGTATTGATTGATTTTCATATGCTGCACCACCCTTACATTTCTGGGATAAATACTACTTGATAATATAATAGCACAGTCTTTTTAATGCGATGTTAGATTTAGTTTTCTAGTACTCTGTTGAGGATTTTTACATGTACAGTATATTTATAAGGGATAATGGTTTGTGGTTTTCTTTCTTGTATCTCTGTCCTCATCATTATCCTTTGGACATAAAAAAAAAAATTCAGGGTCCTAGTAAAATTCCTCCATTTCTTCACATATGGTACCCAATTTTTCCAGAAGTTCAGCATTTTTATCATGGTTCTTCTAAAAAACTCTCACAACACCAGCCTCTGACGGATCTGCTAACATTGTTTTCTTTCCTTATTGTAGGTAATATTTTCATTTGTTTATTGTATACTATGCATTTTATATTTAAAGCAAAACCTGAAAACTGAAGCAGAAAATATTTACCTTTAGAAAGGCACATGATATTTCTCTTGACAAGCCACAGTTATTAAGGAGTGTTTGAACTTTTAAAGGCTTTGAGGGTAGAGTAAGTCTTTCTCTGTAGCAAGGTACGAAATCTTTAGCACAGCAGGCCAGATTCCAGAGATCTGCCTATGCTTCACAGTCAAGTCTTCATTCTTAAAATTGTTGGAAAGCCATTCTCTCATTTATCACTTGGCCTTTTGATTTTGGGGTCTACAAGGAGGTTTTTTTTGCTCTTCCATAAGTTCTTTTATTTCTGAGCCTCAGGATATCTCTTTCACCTCTGTTATCCAACCTTGAGTCTTCTAAGAGTGCCCTGGAAAAGATTTCTTTCAGCCCTTCTGATACTACTCTTCTGTAAATGATAGTCTAGAGTGCCTCAGGCTGTTTCTGCCTTTCAAAGGTAAAAATATGAAGTGATGGCGTCCACCATGCTTCCTCTCACTTGAAATGATAATTTCTTTGTATTTGGTAGAGATTAACAAGCTTTAGAGGGATCCTAAAGAAATCCTCATTCCTATTTTTGGCCCCAAATTCCTTTGTGAGAAAGATTACCCTTCTGTCAATTTCCAATCTCCCCCCGCAGCCCTGACCTGCAATGTTTCATTTAATCTTAATAGCTCTGGGGTAGATGACATTATTATTATATTTATTTTTCAAGAAAAAAAAACAAGGTAAAGTTCCTTCCACAATTGATCCCTATTGCATGACATTCTGCTTTCCAAAATAGCACTTAATAAATTTTCATTTTGTTGATTACTACTGTTTCTTACCATTCTAATGTAAGAAAGGGCAATGACAAAGACCAGCTATATTGTCTGCATAGTGAAGATTCAAAAAATACTCACTGAATGAGTAGATAGATGAATGAATACATTAAGCAATGAATGATTCAATAAAAGGTCTTGGCTAAAGATACAGTAAAATTCAGGACTCAAACCCAAGCCATCTGGCTCCAGAGCCAGTATTAGTCACTTTATTACTATTAGTTCCTGAACGTAATTAAAGAGCAATACTAGGGGTTAGGAATACAGCTCAGTGAAGGATGGTGCTTAAGATGTTTGAGGCCCTGAGTTCAAGCTCCAGCACCAAGAGAAAGGGGGTTGGGAGCCAACTCTGTGGCAGACAGGTCAAGCTGATCACTAGAGATGTAGAGGGTTCCACACCATACCAGAGTATAGAGTGGCTGCTGAGGAAAGGATGCCCAAGAAAATTATACAAGGACTAATTTACTTATTTCTTTTCCATAGAAACATGATCATGTGATCACTTTATTCAAAGTTTTTAAACTCTGTAATTGGTGATAATTGGTGGCAATTTCCAGATTACTGTAATTAAATGTTATGTGGGCATTCCCTATAACTTGCTTCTTCTCTCCGAGGGATGGCAGAAGCTGTGCACGGAAGACAATGTTATCACAAGATGGGCGGATCTTGGATTCATGAGTGACAATTTTTCCAAAGAAAAGTGTAAAATAAACGTTTTCTTGTCTTAAACCACTTAACACTGAGGATGGTAGTATTTAGATTACCATGACTACCATGATAAGTCCAAAAGAGGAGAATATGAACTACAATAAGGTCTAAAATTTCAATCAGGTACTATAACAGTAGTGGAAAGATAAAGGGCTTATATGGGGAATTAAGTAAGATTACGTGAAAGTACTTTATAAATTGAAAGGCACTATGAAATTATGAGATAACTATAGTGTAAGAGGGAACATGGTACAATGGGGAGAGGAATAGCAGAGTAAAACACCTGGTTTTAGACTCACCTTTTGTTTTTTTTGGTTTTGTTTTGTTTTGGTACCGGGGATTGAACTCAGGACCTTGAGTTTGCCAGGCAGGCACGGTGGCACTGAGCTAAATCCCTGGCCCTGGTTTTAAAATTTCTCTGCTAGTTATATCATGTGTAACCTTAGGTCATTTGCAAAATATAACTGCTTTATCCCTTTCAGAGAACTGCTGTGAAGATTAAATGTAACTGAGAAAACATCTAGTAAATTAGAAAGCACTACAAAAAAATTTAATTCTTCCAATCAACAGGTATAGGAACCTAAAACAATGTCACTGAATTTAGCAATTTAAGTAGTATGTTGTCATCCAGTGTCTTTTGAGTAAATATTCATAGTAATGCAAATACTTTTGAAACATTTCTCCAAAACATAAGTATGATTTTAAAACAGGTAATCTGTAAAATGTTGTTGTCTAAATCAAAATTCAGAAAGACCTACAAATGTCTCCTTCAATCCTAGTGACTGAAAGCGCGCATTCAGAAAAATCTCACTTTAAAGAGACAATTGTCCCAGAGCCGTTTAAGTACTGATAAGTAGTTTGATTAGTCATTAAAAATTATGTCCAAAAAAAAAATTATGTTCAATTTATTGAAGATTTGTTCCCAGTAACAAGTACACAATTT